TTAGAACCGTTGTTTGGAACTCAGTATCTGATAGTTGACTTGCCTATATTTCATTTAGTTCTCTTTCTGGAGATTCCTCCTTTCCCTTTGAATGGGGCGTATTTCTTTGTCTTCCCATTATTTGTGAGACTCTTCTTTTTTGCTTCTGTTTCTTTAGTTGATCTGTCTTGATTTCCTGACTTTGTGGTGTGAACTTCTATGGTTGGAGACCGCTGTTTTTACTTTCTGGGTCTGCCTCTGATGATGTCAGATGTTAACCCTGTCTGACCTTAGGCAGTTTGTTCAAGACTTCCAGTAATCTACTGTTTGTGGCTGTCTCCTTCAGCTGTTAATCTATTCTCTCTGCACTCAGCAGGCTGCCTTAGACAGCTTAAGGGGGGCGGAGTCCCTCCTGGGGGTGGGGTTATTAGGTCCTCTAACGCTGGTGCATATCGGGGTGGAGTCTGCGCTGGGATCCTTCTGGCTACTCTCAGGTCTCTCACCAAAGCCTCCATCCCCAGTCTCTCCTCAAGTGTAGCCAGACATCTCTGAGCCCCCTTTAGCCAGGGATCTACTGTCTGTGGCTGCCACTCTGCACTCAGCAGACGGCTTAGACAGCACAGGGCAGGGTGGAATCCCACCTGGGGGCGGGGCTATTGGGTCCTTTGACGCTACTGCTGCTCAAGGGGCAGGGTCTCTGCCTGAGCAAGATGACTGCTGCCGCCTGGGGGATGAGTCAGCACCGAGATCCCGCCGGCTACTCTCTCAGTTCTCTCCCCAAAGCCTCTTTCCCCAGTCTCTCCTCAGGTGTCTCTAGTCCACTCTGCTCCTGCCTTTGCCTAAGACCAGGGTAAGTTGCTGCAAATAAAAATTTTGTGTTGGCCCTTTAAACGGTTCTTTGTGTCTCCAGCCATCTGTCTCCGGCAGAGAGCAACCCTGCCGCTTTTCGCAGCTGGCTGTGTTCTGTGTACCTTTTGGGCTCTAGTACTGTGAGCTAGAAATCCTGGCTTTTGGTTTAGACCCCACTCTTCTGAGGGGTATCCAACTGGCCATTTCAATATCCTTCTGGTGCTACTTTCTCAGGTCTGTACTGTACTCCTTACTAGTTAGATTGCGCTAAAGCCGATTCTTCTGTCTCCGAGGTTACAAGGCTCCTCTCTAGCTATTGTTCAGTTGTTTGTTCCAGGTGATTTCTCCACAATTTAGTTGTAATTCCAGATTGGTCCTGGGAGCAGGTCAGTGTGACTTCCACTTACTCCTCCGCCATCTTGATTCCCTCCAAACTTTTCTTCATAGAACATAAAAAGCACAAATTGTAAACAAAAAAAATCAATACATTGAACTGTATTAGCATTAAATCTTCTACCCTTTGGAAGACATTGTTGAGGAAATGATCAAACAAACTAGAGACTTGAAAAATACTTGCAAATAGCATATTTGATAAAGAACTTGTATCCAGAATATATCAAGAATTCTCCCAACTAAATAATAATGATAATAAACCAATAAAAATGGACAAAAGATCTGAACTTTGCCAAAGTAGATATATGTGTGCAAAAATAAAAAAAAAAAGAAAGATGTTTAACATTATTAGGCACTGGGAAAATACAAATTAAAGCCGTAATGAGATATCATCATAAGCCTATTAAAATGACTTAAAAAGAAACCTGACAATATCAAGCCTTGAAAAGGATGCAAAAATGGTACAATCACTTTGCAAAAGCAGCTTCTATAAAATTAAACATACACTTACCACATTATCTAGCACTCCTACTTGTAGGATTTTATCTGAGGGAAATGATAACATATGTCCCACACCAAATATATGTACATAAATGTGTAGAGTGGTTTTATTCATAATTGCCCAAACTGGAAGCAACCCAAATGTTCATCAGGCAATGAATGAATAAAGCACCTGTGGTTCAGCCACACAATGAAATACTATTCAACAATAAAAATAAATGAATTACTGAGAAGTGCTATTTTGTGCATGTTGAATGTATTATGAAAATAGAAAAAAGCCAGACCCAAAGGCTGCACGCCATATCATTTCACGTATATGACATTCTAGAAAGGGCAGGATGCTCTAGGAATGAAAGTCAGATCAGTAGCTGTCAGGGCCTGGATTGGCTAAAAGGTGTATGAGGCAATGCTTTTGGCTGATAGAAACATTCTATATTTTGATTATGGTGGTTGATACATAGATGTATGAGTTTGTCAGAATTTATAGAACTGGACACCTTAGCGGGGTGAATTTTTTTTGTATTAAATTATATGCCAATAATCCCAACTTTAAAGACCACAGAAGGACCTTATACAGCGATCTTCAGGTGGCCTCAGATCCCCATTCCTTAGGCCCTAGGTCAAGGCTGGGCAGCTGGCTCTCTAAGTCAAGGACTATCTTATGTTCTTCGTTAACTACCCATCTTCACACACATTCCCTGTCCATATGGTATATACATAGTAAGTATGGATAAATGAATGAATAAAAGAAAAAATCAGAGTGCTTGCAGGAATCCAAAAGAGACCTTGGTGATCTGTAGGCGGCAGTGGCCTCCTCCAGCCTGTCCTGCTACTTCTGCCAGCAAAGGTCAACTTCCTGCCCCTGGGAATTGCTTTGCCTCCCCAACCCCACCTTGATTCATGTGTCCATTTCACACAATTTATGCCTTTGCACACGCAGGTCCCTGTGCCTGGATCACCCCTCATAGGACCCGAACCTGTGGAAAAAGCACCTCTCAGCCCCCAGATCTCCAGGAAATGTCTTGTCTACCCTGACGGGTGTGGCTCAGTTGGCTGGGCATTGTTCCACAAAGTGAAAGGTCACTGTTCGGCTTTTCCGCCCATTACCCCCTCCCTCAGAACACCGCTCAGGCTGCACAGCACTCGCTAGAGCTCCGGGCTCCAGCTCAGCCAACGCCGGTTGTCACCTTCCAGCCGTCATCATGGTCATCTACCGGGACCTCATCAGTCATGATGAGATGTTCTCCGATACATACAAGACAGGCTGGGTTTGGAGGTTGAGGGGAAGATGGTTAGTAGGACAGAGGGTAACATTGATGACTCGCTTATTGGTGGAAATGCCTCTGCTGAAGACCCCGAGGGCGAAGGAACCGAAAGCACAGTAATGTTATCTTGAGCTCTTCATTTATTTTGACCTTGATTTATATGGAGTGGAGGCATTGTTTTTAAAGAAAACATGTCATGTAGGTTGTCTAAAAAATAAACTGCATTTAAACTTACTTGAGAGAATGGCTCTTAGTTGAATATATATTTAAATCCATCCTATATTGTGTCCCTGGAGAAGCTATAACCTGGTTACAGACCACTACTACAGAGCATAAGACTGTCTTCAGATAACTTCTACAGTGAAAACTACTTATGGGAATGGAATATAAAAAGCAAGGATCTTGAGTCTGAATTGAAGTAAAGGGAAAGACCACATTCACAGCAGAGCCAACATTTGAAGTGGATTCCTTAAACATTTTTCATCACCTAAAAATGGAAGTAATAAACTGGAAGAGATTACCAAAAGAGAAAGACCCACTCACTTGGAAGCAAAGTTGTCTGAGCTTCTTTAGCATATCAAGTTAAGACCAAGTTCTATAGAAATGTAGGTCTTCTGGAATTGTGTAATAATAAGCTTCTGTCAATCCTGGAATAGGGTCGGCAGGCTGGCTCATCCTGGTACCTATTTTGTATGACTGAGGTGGTTACATTTTTAAATGGGGAAACAATCAAAATAACATACCGGATACGAAATCTGATTTGGTGTCCAGCTTTATTAGGACACTGCCGTCATTTGTTTATGGATTGACTGGCTCTGGCACTGCAATAGCAGAGATGAGTGTGACAGACTCTGAAGGCCTGCAAATCCTAAAATAAATGTATGTCCTGTTAAAAAAAAAAAAAAAAGAAAGAAAAGTCACTGTTCAATTCCTGGTAAAAGCACATGCCTAGGTTGTGGGTTCGATCCCTGGTTGAGGCTTGTGCAAGAGACAACCTATTGATGTTTCTCCCTCTCTTTCTCCTTCCCTTCCTGTCTCAGGAAGGAAGGAAAGATGGGAGGGAGGGAGGGAGGGAGGGAGGACAGAAGGAAGGAAGGAAGGAAAGGAAGGAAGGAAGGAAGGAAGGAAGGAAGGGAGGAAGTCACATCCTGTCTTGTCCCATAGGATAGTGGGGAGTTGAAGGTATGTGTGTGCACAGCATAATGGCCCTCAGGGGGTGCCTAGCTGGGCAAAGGAGGTGAAACTTGGGCAGGAGATTCCGGGTGGCAGAAAAAGTTCTCCCTCTTGCAGACAGCCCATTATTTCTTTCCCTTGCTCACCAGAATATGGTGCTAGTTAATTTTGTTGAGTGCTTGTTGTGTGTCAGGCCCTGTTCTAAAGCACTTTGCCTGTAGAATCCAGGTTATCTGCCCAAAAACACTATGCACTATTAGTATTCCCATTTGACAGAGAGAGGAACTGAGACACAGAAAGGCTGTGGATGTGCGGCTGTATACGCAGGAGGTGAATCAGAAAGGACTTGAAGCCACAAAACCTGGCTCCAGACCTGTGTTTTTTACCACTGCTACACTACAGGGAGGCCAGCCCGGAGGGTGAGGGTTCTGGCTTCTTCCCAGAGAAGAAACTGTTCTCTATCCTGTGCAAGGCTGGAACCAGAGACCTGCAGGCAGTGCCGCTGGAGGAGGATCTGAGCATGGCTGTGAGGACAGTGATCCCTGCAGGCTTTGCCGCCTCAGACCCTGGCCAGCCCCGGATACCTGGGGTCACCCTGGGCAGGGGGTGGGCGTAGATGAAGGGCTGGCCTCTCTGAGGTCTAAGATCCCCAGCCTTCTGCTTAGAGGCTGCAGTGGCTGGCTCCACTTCTCCTCTCCTCCCTCACCCTGCAACCCTCCCTGAATCATAAAGCCAGACCCTAGTCCCTACTGTTGCTCAATCCCCAGGAGCTGGTTCCTGTGGGCAGCGCCTGACAAGCCTGACCAGCCTGACCCTCTCTCTCCTTTCAGCAGTTCAAGGGAAAGACGAGATCTTGCACAAGGCACTGTGTGCCTGCGCTCCGCAAGGGAAGGGTGACATGGAGCCTCTCCGGCTGCTCATCCTGCTCTCTGTCACAGGTAGGATACCCGCACTCCACTGCTGGTGGCTTCTTTTCTTTGTCTGCCTTGAGTATATGGCAGGTGGGTGGTTGGGTTGGGGAGCATGGAGCTGAACAAGGGTGAAGTCCTTGCACATTTTGCTCCCGTCTCTTCCTGCGAGCTCCGTCTCCTTCCTGTTCTCCTTCCATCCCTGGGATCAGGACCTGCTGTCAGACTCTGTGCATGCGCGGGTATAAAGAGCCGGCAGATTCTTGTTACATGGAAAGGAAAGGAGTCCTGATGGTGGTATTTCAAGCACTAGCTAGTAGCTGAGGGAAGTTTGGAGGGCACTGGTAAGAGCCCCGAAACTTATGAACCACTTAAGCACAAGACTAGCCCCAGATGAGTGGCAGGACAGGAGGGAGGAAGGAAGGAACTGACTGGGAATCTGGGTCTTGGGTGCCCCTTCCCTTGCTTGGAAGGTGGTCTTGTCCTCAGCTATGGTTGGGAGGTGAGGGAGCCCAATATTTCTGTCACTGAGCTGGAGGGAATGACACCCCCGCTTCTTGCACACAACTGCCTTTTCTCACTGGGGGAAGGGTGCCTCTTGCTCCTCCCGAGCAATAGGCAGCCCTGGGTGAGAGGAGACCCTCCCAGCGGAGCCTTGCTCCTGCAGCTTCTTAGCTGGGGTGGCCTGGAGGACGGTGGCGGCGTGGCCCGCCTGGGGGCAGAGGGATGGAGGGGGTGGCATGGGGGGCGGGCCGCTGCTCACCAGGTCTGTCTGGTTCCAAAAGACAGGCCACCAGTTCCCCGATGCTATTTTTCAAGTTTCTGTCACCATATGGGTGACATTTCAATATTTCTGTTGAAAATGGGGTGAATGGAGGAGGATCAAGAAGGCGGAAGTTGAGGCAGAGGGCTCTGGATGATTCCCCTGCAGCCCCTGTGCTGGAAGCAGACTCGTGCTTCAAGCCCATCTCCCCGCCCCCCTCAAGGGGGACCCCCAAAATAGCAGCCTCATGTCTCCCCCAGAATAGCTCTGAGACAAATCCATCCTGAAAGGGGAACAAAGCCACAGAAATAAGGAAGCGGGAAGCTAAAGGTCAGGAAGAGCAGAACGCAAGGCTAATACCGGCGTGGGCAGTGGCAGGGGAAACAACAGGACCAGGCAGGCGGGCGGCGGGGGAGGGGGGATGCCCCACCCCCGGCCTGCGGAGGCACAGCTGCTCTATCTCGAGATGGAGTGGGGTGAGGAGAGGTCTCATTTCCATGTGGTAGCGAGAAGATGTGTGGAATGAAACTAGAGGAAACTTCAAGACCAAGGGCTTTTGGAAACAGGCCCAGAGAGGGTCAGTTACTTTTTCAATGATATTCATTTCAGCAAGTCTAGCGATGGCAGACCCAGACCCAGGACCTGGGTTTCATGGGTCCCAATTTTCCATATTCACATGCCTGGACTGTGCCACCTCCTTCTAACGTCTATACGAACCTGAGCTCCTTATGTTGCTTTTGTTCACTGCACCTAATAGGTGTTCAATAAAAATTTGGCAAATGAATGAAAGAGTGAATGAATGTCTCTTCCCCAGAGCTGTGCCAAGCCCTCAACACCACAGTGTTCCAGGGCCTGGCAGGCCAGTCCCTGCGGGTCTCCTGCCCCTACGACTCCTTGAAGCACTGGGGGAGACGCAAAGCCTGGTGCCGCCAGCTGGGTGAAGGGGACTCGTGCCAGCGGGTGGTCAGCACACACAGCTCGTGGCTGCTGTCCTTTGTGAAGAGGCGGAACGGGAGCACGGCCATCGCAGATGACACCCTGGGTGGCACCCTCACCATTACACTGAAGAATCTTCAAGCCCATGACGCTGGCCTCTACCAGTGTCAGAGCCTCCGTGGCAGTGAGGCTGACACCCTCAGGAAAGTCCTAGTGGAGGTACTGGCCGGTGAGTGGGCAGCTGGTGGCACCCTGGCCTGCCCTCGGACCGGGCCCCATGTCTTTGGTGTCTGTGCACAGGACCACCCTCTGGGCTTTGGGGGACCCTGGGAAAATCCACACTGTAGATCTTGTTCCTCCACTGAGGGCCACAGCGGATGGTTATGCAGGCCGCTCACTGCACAGGGAGCCGCAGTCCAGCCCTGCCGCCTCTGTCCAGGCTGTGGCCTCTGGGGCAGGACTGCATCACGTGCAGGAAGGGGACACGTCTCTGACTGGCACAGGGCGCTGTCTGAGCTAGCTGTGGTCCTGCTTCCCCAGACAGCCTTATCCCTTTGGAATCGGTTGGGATGTGAACACTGTAGCTGGTCTTTGAGCGGTGGGAAGAGATGCATTTATTCCCCCACCCAACCACCCGATAGACCTACCAACATAAATTAAGCACCAACCAGGTACAGAAAAACAACCCCAGAAAGGCACACTGTGTGTTCCTGGGCAACGTGTGTCATCTCTCTGGGTCTCTAATTCCTCATCTTGAAACGGATTGGTCCTGCAGACCCCGCAGGGCTCCTGTGAGGCACACATGAGATGACAGAGTTAAATGTGCTTGGGGGTGAGTGACAGCCCGCACCCCAGCCTCCTGCTGCTGAACTGCTTGGCATCTTCATTCCAGGCCTGACTGGGTGAGATGGGGGAGGGGTCTCAGGCTTTGCCCAGGAGGGGCCCTCCAGGAAAGCCTCTGCCTGTGACTCCAGAGAGTGTGTCCTAAAGGAGAAGTAATCTGAGGTTACTGTCCTTTTTCTGACTCCCTTCTCTCCCAGCTCCTCCCTGCAACATGGCCCCTTATGGAAATGTGGTCCCACAGTAGTATTCGTCTAAGCCGGGGAGCTTAGGGGGCACTGCCAGCCCTAGGCCCCAAGCCCCACTTTCACCACCTTTCTAAGTGGAAAGAGGAGTGAGGGGCGAGGAGACACAAATTTTCAACTCTATCAGGGTCTGAGGCTCAGCTGACTCCCTAGAGGGTGGCAGAAAAACAATCCATAGCTGGTGTTGACAGCTTGGTGGTTCATTCAGGACTTCCAAATATGTCTGCTGTTCCATTCAGTCTTCTCAAAGACCCTGTGAGGTGGGAGGATGGGAATCGCAGTTACTGAGCTTCTAGGAGGTGTTAGGCACTTGTACAGAGGATGTTCCCACAGAATTTGCAACAGTATTATTGAGCGGATGTTCCTAATTGCCCCACTTTGCAGGTGAAGCTGAAACTCAGAGAAGTTAACAACTTGTTCCTTACAGGGCCAGAGCACAGGCCTCAGCCTGCTCAGAGGGGTTCTCCCGCCTCAGCGGGCTGACTCAGGGGGAGGGCATCGAAGCTCACCGACTCTGTCTCCCACAGACCCCCTGGAGCGCCAGGATCCCAGTGAGCTCTGGATCCCCGAGGACACCCAGGTGGAGCACAGCATCTCCAGGTACAATGACAGGTCTTTCCTAAGATCCCTGGCAGATTTCTATCCTGCTGATTGTGGGCATGGGGTTGAGACTGCGGGTCCCAGAACTACAAATTCCAAGGCAGTTAGAGCAGGAAAAGGACCTGGACATAATCTTGTCTAAACACCCTTCCGAACAGCCAGTGCGTGTTGGTATGACTGTGCCAGTGGCTAAAGTGTTGAAATTATTTCATAAACAGTTTGCAGCTCTCAGATTCGTGAATGACCAGCCTTCTGCACCTCCTTTGGCAGCCCTAGGACATCCCTCAATTCAGCAACAATGAGTGTTTTAGTACTTCAGTGCAAAACTGGGATCCCCAGATCTGTTCCTTTGATGGGACCAGAATCACTTCTGATTGGTTCATGTGTATCTCCTGGTATTAAACATTGTTAACATAACCATAGAGCTCACATGTGCTCCCATCTACATGTGAGCACCCCCCCCCCCCATACCATTCCGTCATGTAAGGCAAAAACTGTTTGGTGAGGAAAGGTGATGTGTTTAAATGTATTCAGCAGGCAGACCCATGCCTAGAACTTAGGTCTCTCGAATACAGGCTTCTCAAGGCCCAAAAGCTCCATACCAGGGGTGGTGCTGGGTGGGTGGGGGTACCCTAAGCCATGGGAAGATCCCAGTGTCTCCCCGTTCTTCTCTGGGTCCACCTCGAAGCCTCCTGCATGCTCTCCCTGTTTCTCTAAGGAGCCTCTCAGAAGAGGAGATCCCCTTTCCACCCACTTCCGTCCTTTTCCTCCTGGCCTGCATCTTTCTCATCAAGCTTCTGGCAGCCAGTGCCCTCTGGACTGTGGCCTGGCATGGGCAGAAACAAGGGACACTCCTGGCCAGTGGGCCTGACTGTGGCCACGACCCAGGCTACCAGCTCCAGACTCTGACAGGTGATCTTGGAGAGCACAGTGTGGCAGGGGGCGGGTGGGGCAGAGAGGGCGAGGTGGGGCTGAGAGGGGCAGTGTGAGTACTCAGTGTGTTGCAGGGCTGAGAGACTCCTGAGAGGAGACGACCCCACGTGGGACGAGAGGCCCTGAGAGGTCTGCACACTCGCCCATCGGCCACCAAGACTCCTGGTTCTGCTTTGGCAAAACACCACTTTGCCTGTGCGCTGCTCCCCCCGACCCCAGGTGTGTGTGTGTGGGTGCGTGTGCGTGGCACGGGAGCCTTGGAGGTGGAAAGATCATCTACCCACTTCTAGACGTTGGACATCAAACATTTTCACAAATAAACCTGAGACTTCATGTTTAACTGGATTGTTTCTGGGCATACATGAAGCTCTTCTCCTTTGCTTATTCTCCTTTGGTGCCAGGAGAATAAATTTTGATGAGCTAAAACGTCTGGCTCATTGGAACCTAGGATCTTAGGATAGCATGTCACTTCATTCTCACAGGCTCCAAATCAGCCAGTCTTTTTGTTCTTCTCTCTCCTTTTCCTAGATCTGATTACCAAGTCCTCTTCCTTTTCTGGAATTTCTCTAGCACCCAGTCTTCCTCTCCTCTCCTGCTTCTGCCTCCTGTCCATAAGTTCCCTAAGATTATTGCCGATCTCCCTGCCCCAGGCCTCCCTCCTCCCTTCCCACCCCCACACCCCAAGTCCATCCAGTTCCCAGCTGACTCATTCTTCCTGGAGCTTTGCTTTCATCATGTTACTTCCCTTCCAGAGGAATGACAAAAACTGGAGTTACAGAGGGCAGCAGCACACCAGAACTGGAAACTACCGATTGAAGTCCCTCATTGCACAGAAGGGAAACTGAGGCTCATAAGGGAAAGGATTTATCCAAAGTCCCCAGTAGAGCCTGGAAATCCAAATTCTACTTGGCATTAAAGGTGCCCTTTCCTCTAGCTCAGTCCTACTCATTTATTCATTTATTTATTTAACAGCTCTTTCCTGTGCCAGGACTACTCTAGGCATTGGAGATACAAAGTTGAACAAAACAGGCAAAGATGTCTGTCCATGCGGAGCCACATTCTGATGGGAGGCGAGAGGAGACAGACTGTAAATCAGTCAGTCAGCTGGTCAGGCATTTGGGGAGTGCAGAAGGGGTGGGGATGATGCAGTTCTGAAGGGCAGTCAGAGGCAGCCCCTGAGGAACACGTGGAGAGGGTGTGGAAGTGAATCTCATCTCAGTCTTCAGTACACACACCCCACCGAGGCCAAGAGTAAAGGGGAAACTGGACCGAGAGGAGGAAAGGAGCTCCTCTGCCTTGGGCTACGTGGCTGCTTAGCCCCTAACCTGGGTGTGGGCGCTGGGGTTTTGGATCCCTGATGCAGCTCTGCGTTCCAGCCTCAGAACCCTGACCAGCCCTGCCTTGTCCACTCCCTGGGGAGGCTGCCTCGCTTGTCCAATCTACGCATTTTCCTGGCCTTCTGATTTAGGGGCATGTGCAGCTTTCTCCTTATGTCCCCAGGTGAGGTAGTTGTCAAGACTGAGTGGGGCCTAAACTGAGCAGGGTTCCACCTTCCTGCCCCTGCCCTCCAATCCCCTCTGCACAATGCCGAACACTTTGCAGGGAGGTTCCCCAGGCCCATAAGCCAGCGTGCCTCGTACTGATGAACCTTTTCTTGCCTTTGGGATCCCCTGCCTTGGCCTCTCTGGGGGGCACACTGGACTGAAGGGGGTTGGGTACTTTGGTTTGAAAGTTCAGCTTTGCCTTCTACTAAGAAACTTTAAGCAAATTTTTTAACTCCTGAGAGTCTCAGGGTCCTCTTCTACTGAAAAACAAAACACGCATCTACCTGGCTACAAAATAACAGGGATTGTAAACTGTAACTGAAAAATAAAATGAAAACAAAACAAAACAAGTCCACCTTCTCCAGGGAGGGAGGGGAAGAACTGGGCCAATCTCACTGGAGCCAATACCCTGTCTCTAGCTTCTCAGGCACGTTTGCTACTCAGTTACCCCAGAACAAAGCTTGGTCAGTGCTCTTTGCTCAGGATGCTGAGACCTGGAAGAAATGTGAAAATCTTTACAAAGGATTCTCTCCTTAACAGAGAGTATAGTGTATTCTTAAAATGAAAATATGCTATAAATAAAAAAAGCTTGGAGGATAAGAAATCTTGTAAATTAAGAGCACTAAAAGAATAAAAATGTAAAAGACAGTAACAGAAGGGATGGAAGAAAAAAATGATATCTCCAAAAATCAGAACAAAATGGACAGAAAAGATGAAAAATAAGACAGAAAGAATAGGAAGAGGAGATGAATACATTAGGTTCCATATCCAAATAATTAGGGAGTTCTAGAAAAACAGAGCAGGGTGGGGGAAGGGGAAGAAAATGGAGGAGTAATTATCAAAGAAACAATGCAATTCCCAGAACTGAAGAACGTGGGGCCACAGCGAAAGGGTTTCCTGAGTGCCCGGAGGATAAAAAAAGACAAGCCAGGTCCACCATCAAGGTGGGGCTTCTGAGGTGAGGCTGGACCACAGGAGAAGGATAATCTCCTGAGAGCTTAGGTGGGGACACATGTACAAAAGTTAGAATCCAAACGGCCTTGGCCCCTGGGTCAGACACGACCTCTCTCCTTCACAGCTGTGCATCCTCAGACTCTAAATTTGGAAGACCTCGAAGGTCATCTTTCCTCTTTCTCTAATGCCCTCCAGTTGCCTTGATCTTCCCACCTTATTCCTCAGCTGCGCCCCAGCCCTGCCTTGTTGACCCCTGCCCTCAGGGTCAGTTTTTGAGTTTTTGAGTAGCAGTTCTTGTCCCCACCCCTGGACGCCCCCACCAGCGTCTGCCTCCCACCCAACAGTCACTCCGAGCCCCATGTGACTGTCCAAGGCAGATGTTTCCTGCCCCCCTGGGGAATGCTGTGTCAGTGCCCAGGCGAGCCCCCAGGCTGACATCTCGCTGCCCAGCGATGGGTCCCAACCTGCTCCTGCTACTGCTCCTGGGACTAGCAGGTAAGGTTCAGAAAGAGCGGCACTCTGGGCCCCACCTACTCTGTTCCAAGGCTAGAAATAATTGCCATTACTGTGGCAACAATAACATGCGTAGGGCTCAGAAGGTGGACTTCTGGGTCCCTGTGTCCCTCTGTCAGTGGGTGGGCTGGGAGGTTCCCCCAACTCCTGTCTAACAGTCCCATATCCTTTCCTTTCCTAGACAAGGGCTCAGCTGAGGAGCTGCAGGCCCCGGCGGGGGGCTCCCTTCAGGTGGACTGTCTCTACCAGCTCCAGGACATCAGGTCTAGGAAGGTGTGGTGCCGGTTCTTGCCGGAGGGGTGCCAGCCTTTGGTGTCCTCAGCAGTGGATCGCAGAGCCCCAGGGCACAGCCGAACGTTTCTCACCGACCTGGGGAGCGGCCTGCTCCGGGTGGAGATGATTGACCTGCGGGAGGAGGACGCTGGGGAGTACGGCTGCATGGTGGAGGGGGCCTCTGGGCCCCAGACGGTGCGCAGCGTGACTCTGAGAATCCTCCCCACAGGTGAGCTCTCCGAGGCTGGCCGTGCTGCTCTGAACCACCCTCCCCACTTCCACCTAGGTCCTGGCGGGGCGGGGGCGGCGGGCAGCTCTGGGAGAGAGGATTTGGGAGGAGACATCCTTTTGACAGCTCTGCAAGAAAAGGAAACCAAACTGGGTGAGAAGTCTTAGATAACACGGCCAAATGAAGCCCCTTCCTTCCCCCTGCACAGGCCTGTCTACCCTAGGAAGGCAGAGCCTCTTCCCCACCCATGGCCTTGGCCTCCTCATCCAGCATTTCCAACGTGCCCGATGCTATTTTTTCCCTTGGAAATGTTATAAACAAAGTTTTAATTTGGGCATGTCAACTTAAATTACTCTTTTATATCATCCAGTTTTATTTATTCCTGTAATAATGGGTTTGATGGCCTGAAAATTACTGAATTCATATCTTATTTAATTTTATAAGTCTTCACTGAGCATCTAGTATGTGCCTCACCTATAGGCAGGTACATGCAATGCCTGAATTACTTCAAGTCATTCAGTTTTAAAAATGGGAAAAATGTCATTATTATTTAAGCTAATATTCTCAACCCTAATTTCAGTATAGAAAGCTCTTTTTTAAAAAAATAGATTTCATTCTCACAGCCTACAACTACTAATGCCTAAGCATTATTTAAACAAAACTTGAAAGTATTAAAATTATTTTTCCCAGAAAAAATAGGATGTTATAGAAAAAAAGTTCTGGAGGGAAAAATCAGCTAGCTGCTGAAGTAGAGACTGCTAGTAACCTCCTCTTAGGGATGCTAACATTTTTTCATTTTCAGGTCTTCTCTGAAGTAATTTGTGTCCGATCCTCAAATAACAAATTAAGAAAGGCTGTTAATTAAGAAGATGGACTAAGTTGTCATGAGAATCCTTATCTAGAGTCCATGATTACATTTTATATTATAAATACACTCCTGTTCATCCGAGTCATCTTTGTCCTTCTCCTTCCTTGACACTCTAAGGTCTGGGAACTCAAGGTTCTAACTCCCCTGACTGGGAAGAGACAAGATGCACCGGAAGTGGGGCGGGGAGACAGGACCTACAATGGCTGTAGACGATGCGTGTTTAGGCAGGCAGGTGGAGCATAGTGTCCAGGGAGGGTGTAGGGGGCAGCTCAGGCAAGCCTTTAGCTTCAGGGAGGTTCATCCATTGTGGCTTAAAAGGTACCAGGAGAGCAGGACATGTGCAGTAAGATTGGGGCCACAGCACCTCCATTTCCTGGTTTGGCGTGGGGTGGGGAGTAGGAATGGTGACTCTCTTAAGAACAGGGTGAGGTTCCCTTCCCAGGGAGTCTAGAAGAACTGGCCAGGTTCCCAAGACAGATCTTCAGGTCCAGAGAAGCCAACCCTAAATTCCTTCAGCCAAAAGTTGAGCGTAGAGATGACAGAAGCTTTATCACCAAACTGGGTCTCAGGATTTGGGCAAGTCCCTCAGCAAGGGTCAGTTGGCATGTATCACATTAGGGCTGACTGTGCAGTTCTTTAGACACTGAGAGCAGAGCTCAGGGTGGGGCTCAGCCAGCCCGCAGGGGCCACATGGTGGCGTGTGTGAAGAGGCCTAGGATGCTGTGCTGAGCTCCTTTAGAGAAATAAAGGAGTAAGCAGGTGGGAGCTGAGGGTAGAGGGGAAAGTAGACATATCCACAGTCAGGTAAAGCATAAAGAACGCCATTCCCACCCTGGCTGGTGTAGCTTAGTGGACTGAGCATGGGCCTGCGAACCAAAGGGTTGCCGGTGTGATTCCCAGTCAGGGCACATGCCTGGGTTGCGGGCCAGGTCCCCAGTAGGGGGTGCATGAGAGGCAACCACACATTGATGTTTCTCTCCCTCTCTTTCTCCTTCCCTTCCCCTCTCTCTAAAAATAAATAAATAAAATCTAAAAAAAAAAATGCCTGTCCCTGGCCCCCAGAATGAGAGGCCCCTAAGGAATACCTTAAGCTCCCTTCCTTGGTTCTCTTACTGCAGACCTCCTTCCCCAGCCCCACGGCCCCATCATTCAGATCTCTACAGTCCCTTGAACCCTGCCCCCAGCAGGTATGTGCTCATTAAATATCCCCTTGTGACTCAGCTCCTGGCCTGAAAGAGGAAGAGGAGGTTGGAAGTTTGGCTGATGACCCTTCCTCAGATCCTGCAGGCAGCGCCAGACCTCTGGAACCCAGGCAGGATAAGAGGTACTGACAAGAACCGTATTCGAGTGGCTGGGACAAGGGTGGTCGTAAAGATATGGCTTGTCTAGAGCCCCAGACTAAATCAAAGAGAAACCTTATGATTCCTTTCTTTCCTGGGGAACTTCTGATCAGGCAGCCAGGCAGACATACAGACGTAACTCTCTATCCCAGCTCAGCAATAGTCCCTTCATCCCACAGGGTCTTCAGTCAGAATACCCTGATAATGTGTCCCTACTGTGCTCCACCTGAGCCTACCCTCCTCATTCCGTTCCCCAAATCTCCTTCTCCCAACTGTGGCTCACCAAGGACTGTACCCTTGTGTCACTGCTCTAGGATTCCTGGCTAGCAGCTCCCAGCTAGGGTGAGGGCCAAGCTCATCTGCCCCTTTGTGTCCCTCAGCATCCTCCTGATCTGGGTCTCTGTGCTCCTGCTGGGCTTGCTGGTGGTGGCAGTGGTGCTGTTTGCTGTCGTGGCCAGAAAGAAAGGTAGGTAGCGACCTGTTCTCCTACCCCAGCATGGCCCTGCTGGGCCTGTCAGCCAGTCTTGCAGACAAGGCCAGGGATGTCGGTCTGCCCCTACAGAGGGGCTTGTCTGAGCATTAGCAAGCGCCCCCAGACTCTAGAATTCCCATGGCTGAGGGGTGGAAGGAAGGAAGGAGAGCAGTGGGAGCAGGCCTGGGGGGAAAGACAGGAACTGGAAAGGGTCAGGGAGTGGTATTATGGACAGGGGACTGGAGAGGTGGGAAAGGGCTTCTGGAGCTAGGGCGAGCATCCAGGCAGGTCTGGATGAGAGCTGTGGAAACCGTATGTGAGCGGGAGAGTCAGGGCAGGCTGGGTGGGGCTGTGGAGTCCCAGGGGAAAGGTTCAGGGGTGGGAGTGGGGAAGGTGAGTCTGGGCTTGACAAAAGGAAGGGGTGAGGGCGTGAGGGGATGGGCGTTGAGCCAGGACGAGAAGCAGACTGTGCCGCTGTCCTCTGTCTTGCCAGGGAACAGGCTTGTTATCTGTGGCCAATCCCAGAGCAGAAGAGGTCCAGGCATGGTAAGAGGCCTCTGCAGGCTCCCAGCCAGATTCCCCAGACCCTCTGCCTACTGTGTTCACTGAGGGGTCCCACCTTGATGGGGTGGAGAAAGGACTGGGACCCAGGAGGGGTTCAAACAATCTCCCTAAATGCTGTGAACTTGGAACCGATCATCACATGTTCCCGCCTTGGTATCCCACCTTCCCTGATTTGGGGAAGACCTTGGGCCTTAAAAACCTTCAAGAAATCCTCTTGCCCACTGAGATATTCAGGATTCGACAGATCCACCATGGTCCTGTGATTTGCCCCAAAGGGAACTGGGGCTGAGGAAGGTGTTCTCTCTGCCTGACCTGCCTGCTTTTGTTATAGGTGCCTTCTTCAACGGTCCACATTGATGATTCTGGACTGGCTGTAGATGTGCCATCGAACATACCATATGCGAGGCTTGACTCACCACCTTCCTTTGACAATTCTACCTATACCAGCCTAAACCTTGAGCCCCCATCAGGGAAACCCCCATACCCAGCCCCTTCCTCCTCACCCGCTTTGACTCCTAAGGTCCTGAGCTGCTCCAAGCCTGTGACATATGCCACAGTCATCTTCCCTGGAGGGGACAAGAGTGGAGGGGCCTCCTGGGAGCCAGCCCAGGATCCTCCTAAGAGCCAGACCCCACCCAGCTGAGCTGCTGCTCCCCATACTGTGTGCTCATGGAGACCATCCCAGGCTTCTTTCCGTGTGTCCACCCAGCCAGTCCATGACCTACACCCTTGGTGTGTCAGAGCAACTAGGGATGTCAGGGTCTAATCTAATGTCGACTTTTCTGACCAGGAAAATGACGATTGGGTGTGATTGAGGTGTCTTGGAGAAGCCTTCCATGCTGGTTCCTCTGCCATTACACCCCTGGGCTAAATAAACTCTGAATGATGATATATGAACTTTTGATGGTTGAGGGGAAAGGGAAGGGACCAAGTTTGACTATTTACATGGCCTGTGAACCGAAAAGACTCCAGTATGGAATTTGTGCTGCATGATCTTCTGTCTGTCCTGCCAGTAGGGAAGAGGTTTCATTCCCTGGTCTGGACACTGTAATGCATTTTGATTCCAAGGGCATCAAGAAGTTTTCTTCAAAAGTATTTCCTGCTTTTCTCATGATACCTGAAAGTATAGATTCATTTCCTTGAGCCTAGAAATCTTTTCTGCTTCTTCTGTACACTGTTTAAACAGGTGACATCTTCTGTTATGACAGCATACCGTGGGAGGAGGGGGAAAATGATTACTTAAAGGAGACTCAGGATAGCCCTGACCAGTGTGGCTCAGTTGGTTGGGCATGGTTCTTCAGAGCAAGAGGTTGCTGGTTCAATTCCATGCCAGGGCACATACCAGGGTTGTGGATTTGGTCCCCAGTCAAGCCATGCACAAAAGGCAACTGATCAATGTTTCTCTCTTGTATCAATGTTTTTATCCCTCTCTTTCTCCCTCCCTACCCCTCTCTCTAAAAATAAGTAAAGTGAAACAAACAAACAAACAAACACAAGACTCAGGATAGATGGGGTGTGAGAAAGGCGGCTGAAAAGAAATACGAATAAGAACAGAAGCAGAAATATGCATCATTATCATCCCTTGGCAGGACAGAGGATTTTCAAATACCAGGAGGTAAAAGACCTTTGCCAACATCAGTTTTACTAGTGCTGCCTCTATCTCAACTGGGTGGCCATTTGGTAGCATTATTCCCTTTGGCCTGAACTCTGGAGCTTGGGAAGGGCCAAGTGAAGGAAAGGCAAGGGGTTTGGGGGCGGGGGAGAGGAACAGATAATAAGGGTGTGGCCATGGTTAAGTTTAAATAAAAGCTAGTCCAGGCTGGGGTGGGAGGGTCTTTAAGATTTCTGCCAGGATTTCTTTGGAAACAATTCAGTTTGAGAATACTTGCCCATATTGAGATGAGTGACCGAGGTGCTCAGGAATCCAGTTGTCTTACAATCATGGAGAGCTAGGCATAAAGAGGTTTTTACCATCTGGAAGGGCCCTAAGCTTTGTCTAGGCACCTCAGGAGAAGGGACAGGCAGGGGCTGTGCCCTGGGCTCCAGCCGTGCAAGCCTAGAGATGCTATTTTTAGGGAGCTATGGCAGGATGTTCTGAGCTTCCCTGATAAGAGTCTCAGTTTGTGACAGAACCTAAATTTACTTCTGTCCCTTGTGGAGGCAGCCACTGACCCCAGTCAACTAAGTCCTCATTTTCCCTAAGGTGACCGAGGACCTGCCTGGTAGGGAGGTGAGGGGGTGGAGGGTGGGGGAAGAAAGAGGGGGAAGGGCAGAAAAAAGTCTAAAAAGAACCCCTCTGGGAAAAAGTTACCTAGTTTAAATGTATTTTGTGCTTTTCAGAACCTAACAGAAGTAAAAGTGTATTCAGTAGTACAAACGAAAGCACTAAGGAAGATAATCAATTGGCTGGGGGAGAAGCGGGAAGGAAGGGAGAGACATCAATTCCATCATTGCTTATAGTAGGGAGTGAGTGAATATCAATCAAAGTCATAGTTATACATAACTTTTAAGATGAAAACACTGACCTAAATTTTATTGTAAGAAACACATAAAAACAAAGCAAAAAATATGCAGGTGACATGGTGAGATGATTGCTTCACATGAGAACCTTTGGAAGTCAGATGAAGAAGTTCCCAGAATTCCCAGAGGAAAATTCACACCCTTCACAACAAGAATGAAGCATCTTACTTAAATAGCTAGTTAATTTTAAAGGAGAAAAATGATATAACTAATGTATAAATAAAAGAGCTAATTCTTTGAAATGAAATTAAATAAAATAGAGACAAAGTATTAGCTAACTTACTGAAGAAGAAGGATGAAATAAAAAATGACTAGGGGTTATAATCACAGGTATGAAGACAATGAAAAAATAAGTATTTTGTGCTGGTGATGATGGTGAAGTGGGACTGACTATAATGGGGACTAAAATAATTTTTTTTGGGTGATTGAAATGTTGTCTATCATGATCATGGGTGTATACACTTGAAAACTCAATAAAAATAGATGCATTTTCTTGTGTGTAAATTATATTTTGATAAAGTTGATATTAAAAATATTTGAAAGATCATTGGGAAATCATTAAAATAGTCTTAGAGAGGAAAAAGCTCTTTAAAGTATTATATAAAACTCAGAAGCCCTAACATAGTTCATATATACATTAAAATAGATACATTAAAATAAATTACGGACAGGCTGATACCTTTTTCTCTGTGACAAAAATCACCATGAACAAAAGACAAAACACAAAATGAAGAAAAATTCTGCAACTCATACAAAGGCAGGGGGCTCATTTCCCTTAACCTTACAAATCAATTGAAAAACAAATACTTACTAGAATATGGTGATAGGATATATACATATAGCTCATACAAAAGGAAATATAAACATAGTAAAGATGTTAACTTCATATAAGAGAAATGCAATTAGAAGTACAGTAAGAATGATTTAAACAAAAATGGTGGTTAAAGAATTGTAAAAATTCTGTCTCCATAAAAGCAATAAGAAAACTGGTAAAATTAGTCAGACTCAACTCTTTCAGAACTCTGGAAATTAAACAATGGCCCTGACTGGCATGACTCAGTGGATTGAGTGCTGGTCTGCAAACCAAAGGGTCACAGGTTTGATTCCCAGTCAGGGCACATGACTGGGTTGCGGGCCAGGTCCCCAGTGGGGGGGCGTGTGAGAGGCAACCACACGTTGATGTTTCCCTCTCTTTCTCCCTCCCTTCCTCTTTGTCTAAATATAAATTTTTAAAAATTAAAAAATAATAATAGTTTGCATCAATTCAAGGACTGTTTACTCAAGAAAAATGTGTTTTCCCCTTCTTGTCTGATTTTAAAACACAGCTTCATAAAGCATCACTGATGGAAACACCATTCATTAGGTGTAACTTTTATGACAGTAACAATATAAAATGGAAGGAGGGAATTGGCTACGTAAGAGAAGTTTTTGTACATTACTGAAATTAAGTTGGCATTAATCTGAACTAGATTGTTTTAAATTAGAATGCAAACTGTAGTCTCAACAGCAATCACTAAGAAAATAACTCAAAATTATATAGTAAAAAAGTGACAAGGGAATTAAAAATAAAATGAAAATAAAAATTAGCTATTTAATACAGGGTCCGGCACAAATAATGCCCCTTTTTTATTACAAAATCATAAGCATGTAATTCTGTAACATAACAATATCACACTCAAGCACACCATATGACATTTTTGGTGAAATGTTCAAATTAAAACTATAAATTATTACATCCATATAATTACCCTACCAACCACAGTCAAGCAGGCCTTACTTCTGCCAGGACCCTGTATAATAAAAAACAATCGTAGAACAGAGGGAAAAGCATTAGATAAATATACAAGATGGCAGACATAAATCCTTTCTTATCAGTAGTTACATTGAATGTAAATAGATTAAAAGGCAGAGGTTGGCAGAATGGATAAAAAAACATACAATCCAACTATATGATGCCTATAGGAGACAAACTTCAGATTCAAAACACAAGCTGGTTGAAAGTAAAAGTATGGAAAAACATATATCATGCAAATTGGCTAAAGTGAGTAGGAATGGCTACACTATTATCAGACAAAATAGATTTTAGGACAAAAACTGTTACCACTGACCAAAAAAAGGGCAGCTTCTACTGATGAAAGAGTCAGGAGGCTACACCAATCATGAATATGTGTGTACCTAACAACAAAATTTCAAAATATATGAAGCAAAAACTGACAGAACAGAAAGGAAAATAGACACTTAACCAGTAATAGTTATAGACTTCAATATCCCATTTTCAATAATGGATAGAACAAGTAGACAGAATATCAACAAGGAACTAGTACACGTGAACAATATTATAGATCAACTGGACCTAACAGACATTTGTAGAGCACTCTATCCAACAAAAGCATGTATGTGTAACATTCTCCAGGATAAACAAATCTCAATGATTTTAAAACAATTGAAATCATACAAAATATGTTTTCTGACCATAATGGAATGAAATTATAAATAACAGAAGTAAATTTTGAAAACTCACAAGTATGGGGAAATTAAACAACAAGCTACTAAATAAAATACGGGTCAAAGAAGAAACACAAATGGAATTAGAAATGCTTTGAGATGAAAATGTGATATAGCAACACACAGGGGATGCAGCAAAAGAGCCTACAGGGAAATTCATAGCTATAAACACCTATATTAAGAAATAAGACCTCACATCACTAACCTAAACTTCCACTTGAAGAAACTAGAAACAGAAGAAAAAACTAAACCCAAAACAAGCAGAAGGAAGAAAATAATAAAGATTAGAGCAGAAATTAATGAAATAGAGACTAGAAAATGAATGAAATGGAAAGCAATAGGAAAAAAACCCAAACAAACCAAGATTTGGTTCTTTGAAAAGATCAACAAAATTGACAAACCTTAGCTAGACTGGCCAAGAAAAAAGAGAAGACTCAAATTACTAAATTAGGAATGAAAGTGGAGAAAGAACTCATAAAATCTCATATCATCCTTTTATAAGGATTTTATGAGATGAAAAGGATGATTAGGAGTACTATGAACAATTAGATACCAACAGATTAGATAACCTAGATGAATTGACAAATTCCTAGAAAGACACAAACTACAGAAATTGACTCAAGAAATAGAAAATTTGAATAGACCTGTAACAAATTAAGAGGTTTATTAGTAATCACACAATTTCCTACAAAGAGAAGTCCAAGCCCACCTGTGAATGGCCTTCCTGGTGAATTTTACCAAATACTAAGAA